GTTCACTGTCAGAAGTGTTAGTAATCTATGCTGTACAATCATTGACAACTAAAATTCTGTATGGATCATAAGGTCCTGGTGTGCCCCACCTGAGAAGGACCTGAGAGAACAAAAAGCCCAAGCTCTCATTTTCTGGAAAAGAAAACTGTGACCCAGATCTATTAATCATATTTTCCAAAGTAGCTTAGCCAACACAATGGATGAACAAGGTCTGGAATCTAGATGTTCTGATCCTATAACTAGTTTGATTCAAGCTACCAGTCTTTGGTGCCTACCAAGGGTATTAAGTCATTAAGTCACTGTCCAAAGCTGAGTAAGGGGGCTCGAGGACCAGCAAAGGCCAGATGAGTCAGGTAAGCATGCACATTTCTGAAGTGGCAAATGTGTAAATTACAAAAACAAAATAAAACAAAACAAAAAAAGAGCTAAGTGATGGGGCTGTGTTCCTCGATCTTTCTGATATGTTGTTTTTTTCTTTACAATAAAAGAGTATGTGTAGGGTAAAGTGCTAGGAACACTGGGTTCCAGCTCTGATATCACTAGTTTGGTGTCTTAGAACTGTTGAGTAACTAGTCTTTCTGAACCTCCAGATGTTCTCATATGTTCTCATGTGGAGAGAGGTAATAACAGTAGTTCAGCTCCTGACTTCCTTCAGAGAGTTGTAGTTAGGAAATGAATGCAAATGGCTTTGAAGTTGCTTTGTCACCTGTGCTTCCTATAACTCTGGCTACCTTCTCAGCGCTCTCTCCTTCAAATTGCAAGGGTGTGCTAGGGCAGGGAGCATGTCTCATTCATCTTTTCTAGCTCAGGATAGAGCAAAGTGTCTGACACATAAGAGCTTGCACACGTTTGCTGAGTGAATTAACGAAGGATTCTGTCTTTTTTCAGCTCTACAATGCCCTCCCTCTATTACATTATCTCCCAGGATGTCACAAAGATTTATTTAACAACTTTGCTCACCAAAAAGAGTTTATTTTGGAGAAAATAAAAGAGCATCAAGAATCTCTGGACATCAATAACCCTCGGGACTTTATTGATTACTTCCTGATTAAAATGGAGAAGGTATATTGTGCCCCTAATTTGCTTGTTCATCTTTATGGGTGATGGGATTCATAGATTTGCTTTGTTTTTCCTGGTGCAACTGGGAGATTTCAGCAGAAATGTTCTTTCCTATGGATGTTTCCATTGCTTGTAAAACCCATGGCTTGTGCAAACCATACTGAGTGTTTCAGGATATTTCTAAATTCTCGCCGAAGAAAAGATTTAAAATCTTCTGTATTTGCTGTGTTAAAGCCAATTCTTTATTTGGGGACAGATCAACACACACACACACACACACACACACATACACACACATACAATCACACATTTACATTCAAGATTAATGGTAACATATCGTGCTACATAAAATGAGTTCCATGAACGAGAGATGTGACAAATGAAGGAACACAGGAATGGACAGGAACCCAGAAAGGTTTACCTTTAGAAAAAATCTGTATGAGGTAGGTTTTGAGGATGCTCTGGCTTGAATTAGCAAGGAAGAGAAACTAAGTCCAAGGAATGATAAGTGTAGTAATCAAGTATGTGGAATTTTCAAATAAGTTATCTTGAATGCAGTTGAGGAAGAGCAGTGGACACAATGACTGATGGGGTTGGGAATAGGGATGCAGTGTTGGGGTGGGTAGTTCTGGAACCTTGGAGGAGAAATTTAGACAGGATCAAATAGACAATAAATGCTAGTATTGACAGTGAAAAGCAGTGATGTCTTAATAAAAACCGTGCTTTAAAGAAATTGTAAAGACACCGATTGGCTCTAGGGGGTGAGAAAGTGAGGAATCAGAAAGGATGTGGAAGTTTTTTACCCTGATCGTATTAATATTTTAAGCCTTTGAAGGATTCCTAATGATTCCTCTAACTTTACCTTCAGCTATGGCGTGCTGTAATGTCTGGCTAATTTGTCTGATACTGATGTCATAAGAATTAATTTTCTGTTACCTGGAAATCTTTTTATTTATCAAGTTATTCTAACATATCATTGCTAGGAAAAGCACAATGAAGAGTCTGAATTTACCATGGAGAACTTGGTCATCACCATATGGGATATGTTTAGTGCAGGAACAGAGACAACGAGCACCACAATGAGATACGGCCTCTTGCTCCTGCTCAAGCACCCCGAGATCGCAGGTATGATCATAGGGGATGGGCAGGGTGAAGTCCAGGGAGGTACTGGCAGACAACACTTTTAGCCACTCCACTCATTACCTGC